AAGTGAACCTCATCATTGATGGTAAAAATGCACATTATGGACCTGTTCCTTTGATGAACTAGGACACAACAGTCCTCCTGTGACGTTCTTGTCCAAAAGCCATAAACTGAATCTCCTCGTGAGGAAACATCAGTCACACCTAAATTGAAGAACTTTCTACCAAATATCTGGCCTATCCTTTTCTTTTCTTTCTTTCTCTCTCTTTCTTTCTTTCTTTCTTTCTTTCTTTCTTTCTTTCTTTCTTTCCTTCCTTCCTGTATTCACTTCCTTCTTCTTCCTCCTTCCTTCTTCCCTTCTTCCTTCTTCCTTCCTCCTGCCTGTTCCTTCTTCCTGCCTTCTTCTTCTTCTTCCTGCTTCCTTCTTTCTTTTCTTTTTTCTTTCTTTCTTCTTTTTTTTTTCTTGAACCGGAGTCTCATCGTTGCCCACTGGAGTGGCATGGATGATCTGTGGCTTCCTGCCAAACCTGTGCCTCCGAAGGTTTAAGGCATCTCCTGTCTCGGCTGTGAAAGGTAGGCTGGTTTAGGAACCTGCCACCGCACGCGCAGGTAATTTTTGTATTCAAGAGATCGTGTTTCGCCGATTGGCAGGCTAGTCTGAAGTCTGGCTCACGAGTGTCAACCGGCCTGTCCTCGCAAAAGTGCTGGGGATGCAAGCCAGTGACCCAGCCACACTAGCATGGGCCTATCTTTTTCTAACAATGATCAAGGTGACAGAGATGAGAAAGGATGGAAGAAGTGTTCCACTAAAGGGATAAGAGACATGACAACCCAACAGAGATGAAACGCAAATGCCGATGTGTGATGTTGCATGAGATTGGGTCAAAAATACGTTTTTCTTTTTGTAACAAAAGGGCAGTGTATGGCCAGATGTGGTGGCTCATGCTGTAATGTCGCAGCACTGTTGGGAGGGCCAAGACGCAGAAGTTGTTGGAGCCAGGATTGAGACAGTCGTGAGCAACTATGAGACCTTGTCTCACAAAAGAAAAAAATTAGTGGGCATGGTAGTCCCTGTTAATACCAGGGAGGCTGGGTGGAGGATCGCTTGAGGCAAGCAGATGGGACTTGCAGTAGTCTAATTCACATGGTGATAGCGGGACCCCCTGTCTCTAAAAAAAAAAAAAAGAAAAAAAAAAGCTACTTGGGACAATTGCAAAATTTGAATAAGTATTTTAGATTAGAAAATAGTATTAGGCCAGGCGCAGTGGCTCAAGCCTGTAATCCCAGCCCTTTGGGAGGCCGAGACAGGCGGATCACAAGGTCAGGAGATCGAGACCATCCTGGCTAACACTGTGAAACCCCTTCTCTACTAAAAAATACAAAAAGCTAGCCAGGCGAGGTGGCGGGCGCCTGTAGTCCCAGCTACTCGGGAGGCTGAGGCAGGAGAATGGCGTAAACCCGGGAGGCGGAGCTTGCAGTGAGCTGAAGAATCCGGCCACTTTACTGCAGCCCCGGTGACAGTAGCGGCCGTTCTCAAAAAAAAAAAAAAAAAAAAAATACATAAGTAACAAACCTGCACTTATGCACATGTACCCTAGAACTTAAAGTATAATAATAATAATAAAATAATAAAAAATAAAATAAAATAAATAAAAAGAAAATAGTATTATAGGCCGAGATGGGTTGGTTGCTTGAGGTGCGGAGTTTGAGGCCAGGCTGGGCAACATAATGAGACCCATGTCTACAAAATAAAAAAAAAAAATTTTAAAATAAGCTGGGCATGGTGGCACATGCCTGTAGTCCCAACTACTTGGGAGAACTGAAGTGGGAGGATCACTTGAGCTCAGGAGGTGGAGGCTGCAGTGAGCCATGATCATGCCACTGCACTCTAGCCTGGGCAACATTGTGAGACCTTGTCTCAGAAAAAAGAAAACCAGTATTGTATTAATATTAATATTTTCTGATTTAATTATTGTACTTCCAGTTAATAAGAGACTGTCCTAATTCTTAGGAAATACAACACTAAAGTGTTTTAGGAATCAAGGGGCATGATATCGGCAACTTATCCTAAAATGTAAAAAATAAGTAATGGGGAAAATGACAAAATGATGTGTGAATATAAAAATTGGGAATCCTGGGAAAGGATAAATGAGAGTTATTTGGACGTGTTCTTGCAAACTTCTTACTAGCTTGAAATTATTTCAATTTAAAAAGCCAACAAGGAAAAATGTTTCAACATCGTAGGAATAACTGTTCTTTTGAGCAGTAATAAGATTTTTGAATTCACATACTAAGACACCAAACAGGCCAGGTGCAGTGGCTCATGCCTGTAATCCCAGCACTCTGGGAGGCCAAGGTGGGCAGATCACTTGAGGTCAGGAGTTCGAGACCAGCCTGGCCAACAAGGTGAAACCCCGTCTCTACTAAAAATACAAAAATTAGCCAGGTGTGGTGGTGCATGCCTATAATCCCAGCTACTCAGGAGGTTGAGGCAGGAGAATCACTTGAACCTAGGAGGCGGAGGTTGCAGTGAGCCTAGATCACACCATTGTACTCCAGTCTAGGTGACAGAGTGAGATTCCGTCTCAAAAAATAAAAAGTAAAATAAACCAAAAAACCCACCAACCATAACTGAAAGAATGATATATTTGAGTAAAATAAAATAACAAATTTATGTACAATAAAGAACTCTATATTGAAGTTAAAAGACAAACAACAATGAGAAAATATTTGCTATGCCTCGGATTAGTATCCAGATTATCTATCTATCTATCTATCTATCTATCTATCTATCTATCTAAAAAAATAAAAACTACAAATGACGGAAGAGAAAAATAAGCAAAGGATATGAATAGCTGAGTCACAGGAGAAAGTAACAAGCATGGGAAAACATGACCAACTGTACTAGGAATTAGGGAGAAACAAATTAAAATAACAATAGTATACCATTCACACTTATTCAGATGATTATCCAAAATTATATAATTTGGTAATACCTATTGTTGAAAGGATGAACAGGGAAGGGGATTTTCTTAATTGGTTTATCTATCTGGAGATCATCTAGCAAAATCTAGTAAAACTGAAGGCATGCACTCAGATATGTATGTAATTCCATCTTTCAGTATGTGCCCTAGATTATTGCCAAAGGAACAGGCAGAGTTGCTCACTGCAGCATTGTTGGTAACTAGTGGAAAATTGGAAACAATTTAACTGTCATCAACAGATGAGAGCAGATAGTTAAACAATTTGTGGTATAATCATACAATGCATTTAAAATTAATGAACTCTACATGTGTTAATGTGTAGAAATCTCAATAACAGAATTTTATTATTATTATTATTTTCAAGACAGAGTCTTGCTCTGTTACCCAGGCTGGAGTGCAGTGGAGCAATCTCAGCTCACTGCAACCTCAGCCTCCCTGGTTCAAGCAATTCTCCTGCCTCAGCCTCCCAAGTAGCTGGGATTTACAGGCATGTGCCACCACACCCAGCTAATTTTTGTATTTTTAGTAGAAATGGGGTTTCACTATGTTGGCCAGGCTGGTCTCGAACTCCTGACCTCTTGGTCCGCCTGCCTTGGCCTCCCAAAGTGCTGGGATTACAGGCATGAGCCACCGCACTCGGCCTCAATAACAGAATCTTAGGCAAAAAAAAGCAAGTAGCAGAAATTTAGAGTGTAAAATTTATAAACACAGAAACAATAATGGATATTGTTAATGAATATAAAAGGAGATACAGTCCCTGCCCTGGAGGAATTTGGGGGCATTTAAAGAAATGTCAAGTAAACAGGTGATTACAATGTAGTAGGATGAAAGCCACGATCAGAATAGACACCAAATACAGATGGAGGTGGCAGGAAGAAGGTGAAAGAATATACTGAAGAAATGAGAATACCTTCCATGCCCCACTCCCACGCTGAATCAAGTCCTGAAAGACAAGAAGAGGTTACTTAGGTGAAAGATAGGAAGGAAGGGTGTTTCTAGACGATAGTGTTATTTGCAAAAGCCCCAGAGGAGAAACCGCAGAGCCTATTTGGAAACTGCCAGTGGTTTCTCAGAGCTGGAGTAGATGGAGGAGGGGGCAAAGAAAGGGATGGAGGGCATTGGTAGGTGCCCCCTGACAAAGGGTCTTCAGACCAGGCTATAAGGAGTTTCACTGCCTTCTGAAGGCGGCGGGAAGGCTAGATTATTGAAGCAGAAGAGTAACAGTTGCATCATGAATTATAAAAACGACGGCTCTGGAGGCAAGATCAGTTAGTTTTTTTGTGTGTTTGTTTTTCTTTTTAAAGAAGAAAACCAGACAAGAAACAATGGGATCGCAGCTGAAATAGACGAGGTGGTGACTGAGAGAGAGTATCGAGTCCAATCTTTAGGGCTTCAGGGAGGGATTAGAGGTAGGTGTCGGGAGAGGAGGTTCCTGGCTATCTTGGGGTGTACGATGGAGGGACAGGGCTTGCGTTTTGTGACACCTGACTCTGCCCCTGGCCACCCCTGATTGGACCTTACAAACGTTTAGTTCAAATACAAAAATGGGCCGGACACGGTGGCTCATAACTGTAATCCCAGCACTTTGGGAGGCAGAGGCGGGAGGGCTACTTGAGCCCAGGAGTTCGAGATCGGCCTGAGCAACATAGTGAGACCTTGTCTCAAAACAAAAACAAACAAACAAACAACAAATATAAAAATATCCAGAGGAAAAACTGAAGGCGGTGGTTACCATTACAACGCGTTTTCGTTAGGGGTATATGTGGCTTTAGAGTCATCTTGAACGTTTTAATTACAAAATAAAAGCTGAAGTCTATACAACATAGGAAAACATCGACTTGTGTAACATCTCAGTGAGCACACGGGCGTCATATTATTTTCTGTACTTTGCTGTGTGTTTGAACCACATAGCAAAAAACTGTTGGCGACAAGAATTGGAAAAGCAAAGTACAGGAAAGGCTTTGAGTTCTATAAAGGGGTTAAACCAGAAAGCGGCGGGGGCAGGGAACAGTCAATCTGTGTGTGTGCACACTGCGTGTGCAGACAGGAGACTCCTCAGGAGACCAGGACCTGTCTGAGTGTGTGCGGGGATGAAGCGGGACGAGGGGAACTGGGGCGGGGGAGGAGGGGCGCGCCGCGGAGGTGCCCCCCGCCCCCCCCACAATTCTTCTCCCCACCCCCCCCGCCCCTCCTCCCTCAGTGACGCCGCTTCCAGTCTCCAGGCAACGTGGGGGCCAAACAACGCGGCCGGGAGGCGGCCGCTGCCTGCCGGGCCCTCTCTTCTGGGACTCTCGATTTTCGGACGCTGAGCGCCATGGCCCTGCCTCTGCTGCCGGGCAACAGCTTCAACCGCAACGTGAGTAGGAAGGGCGTCCGAGGTCACAGCTCCCGGCTGGAGTCTGGGGTCCAGGCAGGGTCGTGGCGTGGCCACCTCCGCGGACTCTCCTGGAGACCCGATGCTGCTGCCCTGGGTTGGTGGCAACTTGGACCAAACTTAATAGGCTCCTTCTCCCATCTCTCCAACTGCATCTGAATGTTTTTCCTAATTTAGAAACATATATATAGACCCCTTATAGGTGACAGGACCCTCAAAGGTAACGAATAATAGTGACGATAACCATTGCGGGTTTAATGTGTGCCAGGCACTGTGCTTTAATCACCTTATGCAGCATCCAGTGTCCCAACAGCCCTTTGAATTAGGTAGTTTTTATTCCCAGTTACTATTGAGGAAACTGAGGCACAGAGCTACACAGTCTCAGTGGTGAAGCTGGGTTTCTTTCAAGCAACCTTGTCTCCACAGCCCAGAAGCCTAATCATTATCCCCCGTATCCTGTGTGAAAAAAGATACCATTTCAATTATCAAATCGAAGAAATTTGGCACTTATCAAGAGGGGTAGGTGGCAGATAAGAGTGGCAGCCTGTAAAGTTTACTCCCAAACTTTATAGAGACAGGCACCCAAACTTGGAGGGATTTTTTTTTTCCCTCTATTTATAATTGGGAGGTTGGGAGGGGTTCATTTCTTCTTCTTTTTTTCTTTTTTTTTTTTTTTTTGAGACGGAGTCTCATTCTGGAGGCTGGAGTGCAGTGGCCGGATCTCGGCTCACTGCAACCTCCACCTCCCAGGTTCAAGCGATTCTCCTGCCTCAGCCTCCTGAGTTGCTGGGATTACAGGCGCCCGCCACCACACCCGGCTAATTTTTGTGTTTTTAGTAAAGATGGGGTTTTACCATGTTAGCCAGGCTGGCCTCAAACTCCTGACCTCAAGTGATCTGCCCGCCTCGGCCTCCCAAAGTGCTGGGATTACAGGCTGAGCCACCGCGCCTGTCCTGGAGGGGTTCATTTCAAAAGAACATGAACGTACAGAACAAAGCAACACAACACAAAAAAACCCTGAGCATGAAAGAACTTTTGACAATAAATAGCACCTCATTTAAACGACAGAAGGAAAATGATTCAGGCTTTTGTTTATACTGGTTACTGCTCTTCACTTGGGTCAGCCATCTGTGTCTGCAGGAAAAGCTAATTCCCAATTAGATGGGAGGGAATTAGATGGAGCCACTCAAAGCAATTGCGTAAACCTTTGATAACTTTAGAAAGCAGGCAGCAGATTGAAGTACTTGACTTTATAGTTTCCAAACAGTGTCTGTATCTAAGTTGTTGGCCCTAAAGTACCAGTTTTCTTTGTAGCTTCAGGTCATTGAATTCTGACCCCCACATGTCTGGTCAGTCCAACTTTGAACACTGATTTGTGCATTTCTTGGTTGATGGGTAGAGGCTGGCCTTCCAGCATAGCATTGTCCTTTGGTAAGTTTAAGCCAGCCACGCAAATAAGAAAGGTCCCTGAGAGACGGGACATGAAAACAGATTCCAGAAGTAAAGAAGCATGCTGTGTAAAAGTAATTTTAATAAAAAATGAAAGTAAAGCCTACAGCTTTTTGCCCAGCAACACTCTGATTACCAGTGCCTGCCTCCTGCAGAAGTATCATAGCTCTCACGTGCAGTGATTAAGGATGGGAAGGAAAAACGGTGGATGGATGAGATATTTATAAATCTGCAAGGTTCTGAGTGTATTTTTGCTTTTTAAAAAACTTTTAAGATCATGAAGTACAACACATATACAGAAAGATGCACAATGGATGATCACAAAATGAACATCAAGAAATTAAATATGGGGGCTGGGCACGGTGGCTCACGCCTGTAATCCCAGCACTTTGGGAGGCAGAGGTGGGAGGATCCCTTGAGCCCAGGAGTTGGGGACCAGCCTGGGCAATATAGTAAGAACTCGTCTCTACAAAAAATTGAAAACATTAGCCAAGCATGGTGGCACATGCCTGTAGTCCCAGCTACTCAGGAGGCTGAGGTAGGAGAATCACTTGAGCCTAGGAGGTCGAGGCTGCAGTGAGCTGTGATTGCATCACTGCACTCCAACCTGGGCAACAGAGCCAGACCCTATCTCAAAAAATAAATAAATAAATAAATAAAATAAATATTTCCTGTTCTCCAAAAATACCACCCTTGACTGGGGCTGCTAGATTTAGCAAATAAAAATACACATCTTAAATATCGCATGGAACCTGTTTATGGGAAAGGATTATTGTTTACCAAATTTAACTGAGCATCTTGTATTTTATGTAACAACTCTACCTACGAACCTTTCTGTTCATTATGCCTTCCCTGCTCTCCAAATGTAACCACTGTTCTGGCTCCTATCACTATAATTAGGTTTTGCTTGCCTTTGAACCTTTTATCAATGGAAATGTTTGGTGTTTATACATCTTCTGTGACTGGCTTTTTTAGCTCAACAGTATGTTTGTTAGATTTGTCCATGTGGCTGTCTGTAGAGGTAGTTTGTACATTTTTATTACTCTGTAGTATTGCATTGTATGATTTTCACATCATTTATATATACATTTTACTCTTGATAAATATTTGGCTTGTTTGGGGTTGTTAAGAATAGTTTTACTGTGACTATTTTTGTTCGTGTCTTTTGGTAGGATTGCTAGATCATGCAGTATTCATATGTTCAGCTTTAGTGGATGCTGTCAAAGTGATTATACTACTTAAATTCCCACCAACATTTTATGTTCCTGTTGCTCCACATTCTAACACTAGGTATTGTTAGTCTTTTAAATTTTAGATTTTTTGGTTGGTGGGTATAGCAACTCTTTGCAGTTACAATCTGTACTTCCTGATTCCTAATAAAATTGAGCATGTTTTACACATTTATTGGTCATTTGTATGACCATTTATTGGTCACTACTTTTTTTTTTTAGACAGAGTGTTGCTCTGTTGCCCAGGCTGGAGTGCAATGGCGCAATCTCGGCTCACTGCAACCTCGGCCTCCCAGTTTCAAGCGATTCTACTGCCTCGGCCTCCCGAGTAGCTGGGATTACAGGCATGCGCCATCACGCCTGGCTAATTTTTTTTTTTTTTTTTAATTTTTTAATAGAGACACGGTTTCACCACGTTGGCCAGGCTGGTCTTGAACTCCTGACCTCAGGCGATCTGCCTGCCTCAGCCTCCCAAAGTGCTGGGATTACAGGCGTGAGCCACGGTGACTGGCTTTATTTGTATGACCATTTGTTGGTCACTACTTTTTTATGTAGCACCTACTTATCTCTTGTCTAATTTTTACTGGGTTGTTTGCCTATTTCTTAGTGATTTGTAGAACTTATATATAAATTTTGGATATTTTCTTGTCTGTGGTTGGCCTTTTCCCTCTCTTAATGATGTTTTTGATGAATAATTTTTGGAAAAGATCACTCTTTCTCCACGTCTCTGCAGAGCCACTTTGTCAAAAATCAAACATCCATCTACGTGTGGGTCTATTTCTAGACTCATGAGTATTTAAAACATTTATTTACTTTGTGCCTGAGAACAATGGGAGTGGGTGTGTGTGCGTGTGTGTATGTGCATGTGCATGTGTAATAGAGAATGACAGTACCTTGGACTGTCTGTCATTCAACAAATCAGTATCTATTTATTTATTGAGTATCCTAGTATGTGCCAAAATTAGGTGACTGCATTTAAAAAATTGTTACACTAGCCTTGGTACTAAATGTACTATGTGTTTCCCACAAATTAATATTTTAAAAACTTGTACTTAGTTAAAAGATTGGATGTTCTCTGGCATAGAATGGTCAGAAAGTCAGTAAAGCCATATCTCGCCTTTTAATCCTCCCCCCCCCCACCCCCGCTTGCTGAATTAAATTACCGAGTGAAAAACCTTGGCCTCCTGTAGATAGCATAATTACTTGGCTGTTTGGATTTAAAATTATAACACAGCTAACTTTTATTGCTTTTCCATATAAATTGAAAAGGAACTTATGTGCCCCTTACTTAGCTGCCAGTGGTCAGTCATAAGCAATAGATTGATTTCTGTCCACGGCTAGATGATATGCAACCTATATTTCTCTCTCTGAAATGCAAGAAGTATTGTGCCTTCTAAAATATGAACATTTGTGCCTTTGATGACATTAGAATTATTTTGATATAAGTTGAAAACCTTAGGGAAATATCACAACTAAATTCCAGATACACTGTATCTTTTTTCCAACAATTTCCATGCTGAACTTGTATTGAGCAAGAGAATCTTGGGCATATTATTAAAATTTGAAAATATTAAAATTAAAAGAGACATTTCCAGCCAAAGCCAAAAATCCTTTCTACAGTATTTTGGACAGATGGTTGTGTGGCCCATCCTGATCCTGAGTGTCTCTAATGAATGATGAGGAGTTCACTCTTTTTTTTTTTTTTTTTTTTTTTTTTGAGACGGAGTCTCGCTCTGTTGCCCAGGCTGGAGCGCAATGGTGCCATCTCGGCTCACTGCAACCTCTGCCTCCCAGGTTCAAGCGATTCTCCTGCCTCAGCTTCCTGAGTAGCTGGGATTACAGGCGTGTGCCACCACGCCTGGCTAATTTTTGTATTTTTAGTAGAGTTGGGATTTTACCATGTTGATCAGGCTGGTCTCGAACTCCTGACCTCAGGTGATCCACCCTCCTCAGCCTCCCAAAGTGCTGGGATTACAGGCATGAACCACTGTGCCCGACCGCTCTTTCTGCTTTTAATGAAGCTACCTTGACACCATCTTAGGAGGATTTGCTGTAAATAGCCCATCATCTAATTTGTAGTGAAGCAAAGTCCTCCTTAAGAAGAAAGAAAACATATTTGAATTCACAGCAATTAAAAAAAAAAAGAAGAAGAATGTAATGAATCATGACCAGCATTTGTTTTTTTTGAAAAGGAAAAAAGAAAAAGAAGAGAGTGGGATAGAATAAAGAATTAGAGTGTATTATGCTTGACAAGAGTTAAGTGTTTCACGGACTTTTTTGTCTTTCCTGTGTGTGCTTGTGTAT